TTCAGCAGCCCCGTAGTGCCTTCTATGTTAATTTAAAAAGTTTTTTTCTCATGTAAAATTTCAAATAGGGCGTTTAAGTACTTAAAGAAGATGTCGAAGACCGACCTATCTCGGCAGCCAGTTCGAAAACGCTCTATCTCAGGCATTTTTTCAAGTACGCTCTACTCGGAATTTGATTGAAAAACACCCTATCTCAGAATTTGGAAGAACGCCCTGTCTCAGAATTCGGTTCAAAAATGCCCTATCTCAGATCAAAATACATTGAATATGTAATGAGGGCTGAGGTAGGGTGNGGTTCAAAAATGCCCTATCTCAGATCAAAATACATTGAATATGTAATGAGATAGGGCGTTTTTGAATCGGCAGCTGAGATAGGGTGTTTTTTCAATCAAATTCTGAAGTAGGGCGTACTTGAAAAATTTTCTGAGATAGGGCGTGTTCGAACTGACTGCCGAGATAGGTCGATCTTCCACTCAGGCATTGATATGTTGTATGCACATTTGTATATTTTTACAAAGAAGTTTTCCGTATGATTTGATATTGTATTTACATATGAACATACTTACAAAAAAAAATATATTCATATTTACTGCACGACGATGCCTACAAAATTTGCATTTTTTCTAGGCTATGAAAATTTTAGTTCGTAATTAAGCGGTATGCAGAAAATTAATCAAAATGCAGAAGTTGTGGCTAATTTGTTTGCCTTTTCCAGGTTGCTGCTTTTGTCTTTACAAGCAAAGCAAAAGTAGCAGTGTTTATACATATGTATGAATGCACTTGTGTATATGTACTTCTTCGAATATATATGTATGTGTATGTTTGTATTTAATTGTTGGCTTATAAGAAAGAAAAACAAAACCTTTAAATACGATAATAAACAAATAAATTGAGGTCCGTATTCAAGTTTTTTACCCTAAATAAATTGTTGCCGTTCTGCATACGAAATCGGCAATTTAGGCGAGGCACCCAACCAACCTAAGACATTTTGAGACTCAGTTTTCAGACTTGTGAATTGTTTAATTTGATTGACATTTATAAACATATACATAGGTAATTACATATAGAAATCTACGCGCGATACGTGTATGTATGTACATTTGTATATTAGGGTGCATCACTAGAAGACCAAAAAAAAGCTTTAAAAGTTGATTATTCCTTAAAAAAATTGCATTTTTTATTACTTGTACTATTCATCGTCACATTTTTGGCGGTGTTTAGAAAAGACTTGAGTGAGCTAGACTGATTTGAAAATACCTCCAAAAATCCATGTTTTTTTATAAATAATGGAGTTTACGTTTCTACAAAAAATGTTGCCTTTTCATTGCCCGATTATTAGTGTTTGTGCTTAGAGGGCAATGAGAAGGTAAAATTTTTCGGTAGAAACGAAAACGTCATAAAATTTGCATAAAATTTTTTAAAAAAATTAATAACAGAATCAATGTAATGGAAATTTTTGACATATTTTCAAATCGGTCTAGCTCACGTAAATGTTAATATTTATCCGAAATTTTTTGGCGGTAGTCTTGAAATATAATAATTTTTATAAGTCCGATGGAAAAACTACAACTTTGTTTTAGTGAGGCACCCTAAGGTATATACATATATACATAAATATGTATGTTTGTTTGCGTGTATTTTGAATGCATTCACAAGCTAGTTTCAAGAGTATCATAACTCGAGAGTTTGCAAAATCAATCTTCTTGCTCTAATACGCTTGTTGTACTCTGCGATACAAATTGTAGTATGTATGTACAAATATTTTTGTTGCAATTTTGACACGTCAATTATTTTAATATTCTTGTGCTTTAATACCTGTGCGTAGTTTTGGTAAATCTAAACCGATTTTGTAAACTACATAATCTATTAATTAGTCTTTGCCTACAAACTTATGTATGTCTGCACATTTGTACGTACATACTTATTTTGAATTTTTTGAAAACTTTTAAATTTTGAGTTGTGTCACTTGAAGAGCTAGTGTTCAAAATAAGTGGATATCTACATACATTCATATGTACATACAATAAGTATTTGGGTAGTGTATTGTACATACTTCTTGTCTCCCACTTTGACGTTGTTTGTATCAAATATAGGACAATATATATGCCAAATGATTGTAATCAAAAAAGTATTTTAATGTAGGGCGACAAATCAACGGTAAGCTCGTGGCTTTGAACTTGAAAACAGTTTTTAAATTTTCGATAAAGCAAATGTACTTCCAAATAAAAATTAATAAGACGGTTCAACAAAATTTGAACGAGTTTGATCTCGAAAACAAGACCGACCTCTAGCCATAGATTTTTTTACGCTGATTCCAAGCCCATTTACAAAATCTTTCTACCTCTTCTAGTTTTTGAGCAAATTTACAAATTAGAGTTGAATTAAAATTGCTAGGATTTCTGTTGAAATAACTTATGCATTTTTATTTTTTGTTTTCGGGCACTTTTTTCTCCAATACTCATACACACGAGGTAGAATCCATCAGACGAATAGGATTTTCATTAATCCCGGCTTTGGATTTTAGTTTAGTTTCTGACATCTTTTTAATTTTTGATATCTTTGATATTTTTGGCATTTTTGCAATTTTGTGACACTTCAACTTTTTTTTCAAAAAGTAGACGCTGGAAAAATTATGTAAATGGACTTGGATCAAGAGTTAACGAGTTCTACATTTTTATGTTGACAAACAAAAAGAGAAATTATACATACGCGTGATCAAGGTTATCAAAGCCAAAGTTCTGTGCTTGTTGAAGGCCTAGAATTGCTACACAAAAGAATATACATGCATACATATTTACATACATATACCTGTATATATGTACATATATGTATACCACTAGCATTTCATACTACATATGTATATAACTAAGTTTTTCCCTCCAAAATGCTCATATGCAGCCACAATAGTTGAAGCAGTGCACCTTCGCCTACATTTCCAAGTAAACATTAAATTTTCATGCAAAAGATGCACTTTCAAACAATCATGCGAATAAATATGCATACATACTATTTACATACAAACTCGATATGTGTATTTGCACACCTTCTAGATTGCGCACGACCAGTGTGATCAGATGACCACAATAATCAAAGCTAAATTGATTTTGAAAAAAAGTTATACCTTATGAAAAATTAAGTTTAAAAGAAGTCAGTACATGCATTCCTTAATTTCCTTAAAAACTCTTCGCCAACTCGATACGTTCCGCGAAGCCGATTTTCTTTAAATAAAGTTTTAAATGCTTCTCATAAAACACACAAAATAACATCAGGCTAATAACGGTTACTTCCAAGTATGCAAAAAGGAATTCAGTTTAGGATAAGAAAAACGACAAAATTTTGTGAATAAAAATATGATTATTTTCTGCATCAGACTATCCCTTTTTTGAGGTACTACAAATCATATTGTAAAAAATGTTGTGTAAAACAAATTTCTTGGGGTTATAAGTAGATTTTAAAATTTTATGCTAAAAAATAGGACCCTCAGGGCAGATATATTTTAAAATCTACTATAGAAAACGCCACTTAGTATTATTTTTTTTTTTAACTTAGAAAACAATTTAGAAAACCATTTTTTCGTACCTTACAAGGTCATTGTAATATTTTAACGGTAATAGTATAGTAAACCGCAAAGTCTGTTCTGCCTTTTCCAAGTTGGATATGGAAGCAAAGCGCATGGGTCTGGTGGTAAACGAGGACAAGACGAAGTATCTCCTGTCATCAAACAAACAGTCAGCACATTCGCGCCTTGGCACCCACGTCACTGTTGACAGTTACAATTTCGAGAAAGTAGAGAATTTCGTTTACTTGGGAACCAGCATTAACACCGATAATAATGTCAGCATTGAAATCCAACGTAGAATCAATCTTGCCAACAAGTGCTACTTTGGACTGAGTAGGCAATTCAGGAGTAAAGTCCTCTCTCGACGTACGAAAACCACGCTCTATAAGTCACTCATCATGCCCGTGCTGGTATATGGCGCAGAAGCATGGACAATGACAACATCCGATGAGGCGGCTCTTGGAGTGTTTGAGAGAAAGATTTTGCGGAAGATTTACGGGCCTTTACGCGTTGGTGACGGCGAGTACCGCAGACGATGGAACGATGAGCTGTATGAGCTTTACAACGATATGGACATAGTGCAGCGAATTAAAATACAGCGGCTCCGCTGGCTTGGTCATGTCGTTCGAATGGACACCGACGCTACCCGCTGGTGGTAGCAGAGGAAGAGGGAGGCCCCCACTGCGATGGAAAGATCAGGTGGAGAAGGACTTGGCTTCACTTGGCGTTTCCAATTGGCGTCAGTTGGCACAGAGGACTGGCGTGCTTTGCTGAACTCGGCCAAAATCGCTTAGGCGGTTACAGCGCCAAAAAAAAGAAGAAGAAGAATAGTATAGTAAAGGGTTTTTAGTTTGACCACTTATTGTAATAGTTCTGGTCCCAATTTTGCTATGAATACATATGTTAAGTAAAAAAAGTCAGAAAAATGCACGAAGGCAGACTTAAAGTCCTAAGGCTATAGCATAAAATTAAAAGTCAAATCTATTCTCAAAAAGGCTAACCTGGTCACACCGCACACGACAAAAGCAACAGGTGTTTGTTTACTTTTTTGCTGATGATCACTTGGAAAATCTTCTCAGAATAGGCGGAGAAGAATGCGAAACGTTTATAAAACATGTATGTGTGTAAATATATATACATACATGTAAAAATGTAAGTTAGTAAGTTTGTATATTTTAATAATAAATATGTACTTAATTTGCTGTATAATTATAAATTAAATGCAAGTTTTAATAAAAACACATTTTAAGGGCTGTGCGCATCATTCTAAGCCAAGTAAAACGTCTTCTCAAATATTGATTTTTCATGAATTGTTCAAATATTTTCGCAGCGACTGCATATTCTGAATGTTTGAGTTTAAAAAATATTTTATATTTTATATTTTACTGCAAGGTTAGCTAGAATTATTTTATCAAGTCTTTTGTTTTTTTATTTTTTGCAGCTACTTTTAGTCCCTTGAATGACATGGCCACTAATTCGGAATTGGGCGATTTAAATAAAACTCCGATTAGATCGAAAACGAAATTAGAGGTAAGTGACGCCAGTAGATTTGCCAGTGGGGATACAAACATGCATTATCATGCTGCTCATATTCCTAGTGTCCACCTATTATTATTTAAACTTTTAGAATTATATGTATACTTAACGCTCGTATCAGTTCTCAGGCAAAAAAAATGTATATTGCTGCAAAAGAAAATTTTTACAGTACAGTGTTTTTATTTTCAATAAAATAAAGGGATTCCTGGTACTATGTGTACCGGTTTTACACCCCGTGACAAAATAATACGATCTTACAAAAGCCATGTAAATCCAAATTTCTAACTTTGTATAAAAATTAGAAGAATTCAACAAAGTTGCACAACGAAAATTTTCTAGCTTAAGCGGTCAACATGAACCCTTGATTTTTGAAAACAATTTTTGCTGCCATCGTCACGTATTTTCTTTCATACAAAGTTCCCTACAGGAAATTGAATTAGGTTGAAAGTTATTTATAAACTACTTTATTTTCAATGATAACTAATTGAAATTTTCACTATTTTATCTGCAACGAACTCATTTATTTAACATGGCGATGCACTGGAAAGCAGTCAATTGCCTTTTCCTGCATGTAGTTTCAACTACTTTAAAATGAATTTGGCTTAAACAACTTCAAAGTCAGTATGTTTCGTTTAAATACGCTTTCGTTCTGCACTACACAGATGCTTTTTCATACTTCCAAGACATAAATTATTTTTTTGAGGAAAAAGAGTATACAAATTCGAAACATTTACTCATTACATTTGTTTTAAAGTAGTCTTTCAATTAGTTGATTAAAAACAAAAAAAAATCACTTGTTTCCGTCAGGGTTACTATGCCCGATAATTTGTTTGTTCGAAAGAAAATAATAACACCGCGTGCAAAAAAATGATCAAAAATCAACGCGAACTCTTAGCCTCATTAAACCTCCACTTTATTACTAGAATTTAATGAGATACAAAACTGCATACTTAGATTTTCTTTAAACTATGAATAAGAAATTTTTTGAATTTCTCTGCAAAGTTTGCAAATGTGGATTTATGCATATTTATATAATTAACTAGACTTTAATGAACATTAAACAAACGAAACAAAATAGCCAAAACGACGTGTCTCTATTTTTCACAAGACTGCTGTATGCACATATATGCATTTTTAATTTATACTGCTTCTGTGCATTAAAAAATTTAGGTAACAAAAAACATTTTTTTGAATGTTTAAACGAATTTCCAACATATATACGCACTAGTTCAGTGCTTTTCTTTAACAAATTACTATTAATTAAATTTGTAAAAGGCCTGTCAATCTGTTTGACATGTTACCATTATAATGTTTACCAGTACTATATCATTAGGAAATCATTATGCTCCGTTTCAAGAGTGGTACATTGTTGGAAATATCATTTGTTTAGCATTTTTTCAGTAAATTAAAAGCTGATGTTAATTGAAAACTGCACCCTATGTTCAAAATAATGAAAATTTAAATGCAATTTTCGAACCCTTTAAACGCATTTTTTATGAAATCTTGAAAAACCCCATCAATTGAATAGATGAATTTTGCAAAATAAAGGAAAAACAACTGTGTTATTCATATTTGCATGCAACTTGCTTTAATTGTCTCAAACTAAAGCTGCCTTTACACGGGTCGAGTGGAAATTCGACTAAAAAATCGAGAGCAGCAGATGTATTATTTTTAAAACGGGCATAGAAATGATTCGACAAGGCATAATAAATGAATTGCTTTCTGAACAACAAAATATAACAAAAAGGATAAAGTAAGCAATCGAATAAACAAATACATTTTTGTGTTGTTTCGGTTCGCTGTCGACTAGCTAAAGCGGCCGGTTAAATTTCGATTTACGCTGGTCGATTTTGGTTGAACGTCAAAAAATCGACCCGTTTGAAAGCAACCAACAACTTTTTAATGAAGTTAATGTCTTTGTCGGTTTGTTTCCAAACAAAATTTGGCAAGTGATTGGCATTCGTTACAGGATACAAAAAACTCTGCTCCTTTCAGAATAACTAACCAATAAAAAGAATGGGATATTTTTTATGGAGCCCGAGGCAATCGTCGCCATTACTTGATCATTCATGAGACTAGTAAAACACATTTTTCAACGGATTATTTATTAGAGGTTTGGCGCTGTCTTCAAAGTGGTAACGTGTTTAAATACTTGTTTTCAGGCGGTCATCTATTTAAAATTAAAATTTTTTTAAAAAGCACACTGAGCTCTACAGTGTCATCAACTTGGAATTTGGCACTGACTACCGATTTCTTGCTCAAACCAAATTAAGTACTTTTGCTCAACTTGCCGCAAAATTTCCCATGAATTACAACAAAATCATTCAAAGGCTAAAATTTTTCAGAGGTACTTTTTCAATCGGACTACAATATTGTGTGCGTTCAGAAATGCATCAAGCCAAAGCATCAGTCTTTTTTATTTTTAAAATATAATTGATGGAAATGCCTTATTTACGAAACTAAGTTCCAATTCGGCTTATAACCGTGGTTGCGCATATTTGACATTTCTATCAATTATAGTTTATAAATAAAAGAGACTGGTGCTTTGGCTTGTTGCATTTCTGATCGCATCTCTTATTTTTGTGGTTAGTGGCCAAACAAAATATTAATAGTAGCATATTACGCCCAGAACTGCTGAAAGCGCACAGAAACAGATACACAACACCATTATTGACAAAGGTGACAGCGTCTCTGACCAACCCAGTGTCTG